ATGATTTCTAGGTTCTCCCTAATCTAAACAACTTTTATTCCTTCATTATTTGTCCTTAACACATGCATTCTATGCTTGATAAAAACAATAAAAACATACATGCATTGAGATACATAAAGCAATAAGTAGAGCAAATAAGGAAATAATATTTTATTAAATTTTTATTAAATTTTAATTTTTTAATTAGTGGTAACCCAGTCAAGATGTCTATGGCTCCGTCATCTCGGGTCGCCGGATGCTCTAGTTTACTTAGTCGGAAAGGTGGTTGCCCTCCAGGACCGGAAGATTCTTGTCAACATTCACGGAATGCATAGTCCAAGAAATCTTCGTAAACAAGAACAAAAAAGGGGTTTAAGTTGCTTTATATGATCTTTGTGATTAAAATTTGATTAATCCTTGAGTTACTTTGTTAATTTTAGGGTTGAAATGTTTTAGTTTGTTTACATCTTGTTGTCAGATTTTAAATATTTTATTTGTGTTGTTTTTGTTTACTTGTTATTATTTATGTAAGGTTGACGGCTTTGAAGCTGACTTAACCTCAAAGACATGCTTTAAAGCTTTATTGTTTTGTTTGGTTTAAGTTTAAATATTAATATGTTTTATGTAAAATTTACCCCTCCCAATGTGTTTTATTTTATTTCTTAATTGATGTTCAAGTTGAGGGGTTTATGTTTAACTTAGGTTTAAGGTTATACCTAAAAGGTTCTCCTATGTTCAACCTATGGGTTAGGTTCTAACCTAAAGTTTAGGGTAGGTTTAGCTTAAGGCTAAGCTATGGTTCAGGTTTATTTTACCTAAAGATTAGGGTTTGATTAGGGTTAACAAACCTAAGGTTTAGGTCAAATAATCATATTGATTTAAGGTTAACTAACCTAAGGTTTAGGTTAACTAATCCTATTTGTTTAGGGTTAACTAACTTAAGATTTAAGTTAACTAATCTTATTGATTTAGAATTAATTAACCTAAGGCTTAGGTTAACTAATTATATTGATTTAGGGTTAAATAACCTAAGGTTTAGGTTAATTAACCTAAGGTTTATGTTAACTAATCCTATAAGTTTAGGATTAACTAACCTAAGGTTTACATTAACTAATCTTTTTGGTTTAGGATTAACAAACCTAAGGCTTAGGCTAAATAATCCTATTAGTTTAGGGTTAACTAGCCTGAGGTTTAAGCTTAGCAAATCCTATGGATTAGGGTTAATTATCATAGGACTTAGGCTTAGCTAATCGCATGGATTAGGGTTAACTACCCTAGAGCTTAGGATTAGCTAATCTAATTGGTTTAGGGTTAACTAAACTAGAGCTTAAGCTTAGCTAATCCTATTGGTTTAGGGTTAACTAAATTCAGAGTTTAAGTTGACTAATCTTAGTGGTTAGGATCACTAATCCTAATGGTCTAGGTTAAGCCTGACCTAAGATTAACGTTTAGTTAATGATGAACCTAATGTGTAGGTTAAATTAACTAAAGTTCATGTTAACTAACCCTAAACTCCAAAAAGTTCAGTCTGAATTGAATGATAGGATGAGTTAAATCTTAAGTTTAAAATGGTCCAACTATTCAAATTGGAATCAGCTAAAGGTTAAGTTTACCCAGGCTAAACTCGGGCTAAATACTGGCTAGCCTAAAGCCCTAAATGACTAAAATTGAACTTAATGGGTGATTGACTCAATCCTTGGGTTGGCTGACCAGGTCATAATCAGGTTGAACCCGACCTAAAGAGAATTAGCTAGGTCGGACCTGAGTTGAGTGTGGGCTAGGTAAACTTACCATAAATTAAACTTGAACCCTAATTAATGTGTTTTAATTATAAAAATTATTTTAAATGTGATTTTAAAATTTTTAAACCTCTATTTATGGTTAAATGTTCAATTAGAGAGAGTTTTACAATTTTTATAATTTATTTTTAACTTTTAATTTACATAAATATGTCGTTTTATTCAAAAATTAAAATACAAATATAAAGACATTAAGATAGCTTAGAAAAATTAGAAAAGCTTTCCCCAAGACTATTTAATATCTCTATCAAATTTCATATTTTTCTCATTTTTATTTTAATTTTTATGATTTAAATACTCTAGAACTTCAAAATTAATTTAAAAATATTTCCTTTATGAAAAATCTTTATTTTAGTTTTGAAAGGTTTTCCTCATTTTTTTGAGTTCATAACATCTTTCAATTTATTTTTTTGAGTTTTTTACAAAAAGTTATGCAATTTTGAAGTTTAGTTATAATTTCTTGAATAAAATAAATAAGAAAAAGAATTGCTACAGCGTCATCTCCCTCACGCCACGCCCGTGACGCCTAGACTTGCGATGCATGGAGGAGAATCGACGGCTGAAACTTCCCGGAGTCCGTTCTCCGCCGATTCTCAACCAAATTTTGTGTTTTGGGGCTCGTTTTGTTCATCTCGAAGAGTAAATCACATCCATATGAATACTTAGGTGTTTTGTGATCTATTTTTTTTGATCTAAAAGGGAGGATAATTCTGGATTATCATTTTTATTTAAGACATATACCTGAGCCTAAGAGGTTTATCCTCAATTAGATTTGAATAAGTAGGCTTCCTTGAGCTTATCCAAGTCCTTGTGGCATCGATTTGACGTAATTCTCGCATCAGGTTGGAAGTTTGTCGTATTTGGTTCAGATTCGCTTGGAGGAGGTGCTAACGACCGAGAGGAATATGAAAAATGGTTGGTTTGGTCTCCTAAAGACCCATGGAGCTTAATATAACAATTTAAGCGAGTTTTGAGAGGATTTTCTGTGCAAAATCGCAAGGTAGCCGTGAGCTTCAAACGGGTTTTCCAGCGGTGGCAGTGGTTTTTGATCGCAGCAGTGGGGGTGGTTGTGTTTCTCAGGTCAAAGAGCATAACTTTGCTCAAGGGTACAAGAGAGTTTGATGGCTCTATGGAAAGTTTGGTCTCTCATCTCTTCCTCCTCTTCTCTTTTTCTTCTTTTTTTTCTTTTCATTTTGGCCACCTTTATAGCTGTGGGGGGAGGCTAGCGTGGGAGAGATATTACTTTTTTTTATTTTAATTTTTAATATTTTGGCTGCATCATGCGTATATGAGGGAGAGAGAAGAGAGAGGGAGATGGATTTTTTTTTCTTATAATTGGATTTTTTTTTTCTTATAATGGCTAGGCGTGGGATTTAGGAGCATGCGTGAATAGTAAACATAACATTTTTGTCGAATGCACCATCATGATGAAATGAACTTCCCTCTAGGTGAAATTGACGTTCCGGACGTGATCGCGGAGTCCGTTTTATCATCTGGGGTCGTTTGGGTGATCTTCTGATGATCATGTCAAAAATGCGTCAAATTTAATTTTCGTCAATATTTTGGTTCGCGTTCGATCGCCTTGGAAATTGATCATAGTGAGGAAATTTGAGATCAGTTGTGGGCAAATTGAGGTGATTTGGAGAGTTTAGGCAGTTCAGGGCAAATTTGGGATTTTGGTTCAAATGGGTCAATTTGGTCAAATTAGTCCTAATGAATGGTCAATAATTTGTTTTAGGGGTGTTTGAAATGATTTTGGAGGATTTGAGAATTTTTGGGCCACAAGTGACATCTTGGTAATTTTGGCCAACTTTGGTCAAAGTGGTCAAAAAAAAAGTGGTCAAAAGGTTGATTTAAAGGCTCTAGGTGGTTCAGGAAGAAATTTTGAGTCAAACGACAGTGTTCGGAGTCATTTTTGATCAATGTAGAAGGTTTTATGATTCTCAAAGTAATTTTTAAGTATTTGTTATTTTGGCGTCGAAGTGCAAAAAGTTTTCCGAAAGTATGACAACATTACAATCAAAATTTTCAGGAAGACATAAGAAATGATTTGGTGTGATTTTTAGGACTTTTAGGTGATTCTGGGATATTTTGAAAATTTTGATATTTTGGGGATCCAGGGTTATTTTGGTAATTTTTTTTAAAATGGGTATTTCTGAAATTTGTGGGTTTCAAATGGTCTAAATGATAATATCAAATGGTTTTAAGTGGATTTTGTGATTCAATGACAGTCTTGGCGAATTTTGAAGCATGAGAATATTCAAGTGGGGTATTTTAGGGGAAACTGGGTTCAAATAATTTTGGTCAGCCCCATGGGTGTAACGATTGCGACATTGTGATATAAAAAAAATAATGTTTATGATGATCATTATAATTATGAATGATGATGCAATGTATTGAAGTCCAAAAAGGTGTAGAACAGTGCAAGACTTTCCTAATTCTCATCAGGGTTCCCTTATGCAATCTCTAATCTTTGTATTAAAGATTATTGATCATATATAAAACCAACATAGAGAACAAAGATTTGGTTGAAATGTCTAAGGAGAAGGAGGGTACCATTTCTAAGATGCTAAAATAGTCATTAGAAAAGTTCTAAGGCTATATCCTAGTCACTAAAAGAAAGACCTAAAACCCTCACCCAAAAGTGAGGTCAACAACTGCAAACCTTGAAACTACTACAACAAGGAGCTTGGAGCAGACTTTATGGGGCAGCACGACGAGGTCTCCATCAGCTAAACCTTTCCTAGTTTAAGCAAAAAGTCATAGGATTTCGAGGTTGTCTACCTAGTGCAACATAATTCCTCACTATATCTTTAGGCTTTTGAACAATCTTGTTGTGCAATATAAGCCCTAACTCATTTAGGATTCCAGGGTCATCATTCAGTATGACATAAATCCTTCAATCTTCTAGGCTGTTTGCATGGTCAGATATCATGCAAGTGTAAGCCCTAAATAATAAAATCTACATGAGTGAAACATTAAAATAACATCATCTTTAAAATTAAAACCAAATAGTAGGATAGTTTGGAAAGTCGTCGAGGTTTTCCTCAAGATTTGTGAAATCCCCTACTTTTTTATTCCCTTTGGATCCCTAAAATAATTGCTCCTATTTGATTCATTCCCATTTTATTTTTCTATGTCCCACCATAAACAACTAAAACTTTAAAATCTTGAAGAGAAATACCTTTAATCATTATCGAGAGTTTTATAAATAATAACACAATGAGTCATCCCGCAGATGTGGAGGCGTGGAAATCTTTTGATCGCTTATATCCTGAGTTTGATGTGGAGACACATAACATCCTACCAGGCTTATGCTCTGATGGCTTCACACAGTATGGTCAGATTGCATCGCCCTACTCTTATTATTCGGTGATTGTTACACCATACAATCTACCACCTGTGATGTGCATGACAACCCTTTTCTTCTTCCTGACAATGATTATACCTGGTCCCAGTAGTCCTAAATGGAGGATTTAAGTATATTTCCAGTGATTGATAGATGAGCAACAAATTCTTTGATAAAAATGTTTCATAACATACGACTTCTCCAGGAACCACAATTTCCTGTTGAAAGCAACATTAATGTGGATAATAAGTGATTTTTCTTCATATTGAATGTTATCTACGTGAAGCACCGTGGGAAAACTAGTCAGCCCATATTTCCTGAATTCATCTAAGACATTTACGCTTCAACATGACAGGTAGAATTCATGGTTTGACTGTCACTGTATGTTTCTAGATGCTGAACATTCCTTCAAGATGAATAGAAATGCATTCAGAAGAAACATAATTGAGAAATTCTTGCCACCTTCAAGAGCATCTGAGGTAGATATAATGCAGATTGTTAGTGACATTCCAAAGATTAATATATGTCATGACATTTCTTCACATCAACCACTCTTGAAAAGCAATTAATTTTTTGGGTTTTGCCTTACTGTAAGGATAACATGATGAAGTATAATTTGGATGTCATGTAAATAAAAAAGAATTTATTTGATATCTTCAACACAGTGATGGATGTTAATGGAAAAATGAAGGATAACATGAATGTCGGACTTCATTTGAAGGAGATATTCAAAAGGTGAGAGTTATTGATCCAAGAAACTACTGCCTTCAAGCTGATTAAGCCCAAAGAAAAATATTCCCTCACTTTGTTCCAACGAATAACAATTTGTTTGTGACTCTAATCACTAAAATTCTCGAGTGGATATGCTTCAAACTTGAGTCATTGTATTGATGTGGGTGTTGGAAAAATTTTTGGAATAAAAACTTACGACTGCCATATTTTTTAAAAAAATTTGATACAAATTACATTTGGCTGTTTGCTAAGGGAAGTCCATAATCCATTGATTGAAATCATTTTGTTCTTTAGGGAACTATGTATAACGTTTAAAGCTTGACGACATACGCTAGCTAGACTCAAACATTCATGTAATTTTTTCAAGCTTGAGAGAATATTTCTACCTAGTTTCTTCAATTCGATGGAGAAACTCCCAATACATTTACCCCATGAGACATTAATTGGAGGTCTAGTGCATTAATGTTGGATGTATCCATTTGAGAGATAATTTCATTGGGACTACATAGTTAATAACTCATTTATAAAGAATATTAGTAGTTTGTACCGAGCAACATTTATTTTTTAAAATTTTGAATAAACTGTAGAGAACTATTAAGAATAAGACCCGACTAGAAGGATCAATATGTGTAGCATAATTTCTGCAAGAGACAACGACATTCTGCTCTTACTATTTCATAGAAGAAGAGTCTATGAAAGAGTAATTGGGTTTGGTGCCACCATCGACCATTTCTATTTTCTAGCAGTTAGGTGAACGTCAGAGAGGTGCACGTCAATTTACGTTAATGATCAGAAACTTTAAGCAGAGCCACTTTATTTTTTTCTTAATTGCAATGAAGTATGACCCATTAGCGAGTAAGACATTTTTCATTATAATTTTTAACTTATTTTTCTGAAAGTGTCATGATTAACTATTTCAATGACATTTCAATGTATAAACAGTTTTTTCATGGACTTGTTAAATTTAGTTGGAGACGATAACAAGAGTAGGGCGATTGAGAATAACTTTCCTTGGTAGTTTACAATGCATGTGAGTTAAAATTGATATATTCATTCCTCATGTGACACGAGCCTTTTCATTAACACATAATTTCATATGTATATATATTAATAATTCATGATTAGAGAAATGAATTAACATATTAGCTGTTGATAGATCTTGCTCGCGGACCTATGTGTATTGTGAAAATCTGAAAATTTTATGATGTAAATCAGTACATGTTTCATACAAGATTCTAGTCTGAAGAATTTTTTTTTTAATTTTTGCATTTATGTTAAAGCAAACGATAAGTCAGACGACAAGATATACCATCATGGAATTCTGGAAGAAGTTGTTGAACTATCTTATCTAGCCTTTATTGGAGGATGTGTATTCATATTCAACGATACTTGGTTTGATCCTGTTCTGTTGACCTAATTTTTGATGAGGTCTAGTTTTTCCTCTTTATAAGCCTAGGATCTAGCCATAGGACTGTCATGTTGACTATCCTAGAGGACTAGTGACAAAACTCTCTCACATAAAAATTTTAAACACTTTTTGACTATTCTTGTGAAGTCTCTCATGAGTGGTCCTAAACCCTCATTTCTCACTTCAGATGGTTAAGACCAACATGTAAAAACTCAAGGGTGAGTTCCAATTGGATCAATGAGTCTTTAGGGCAACCCTAGGTGTCTTGGTCTTGGTCACACACACTCAAACCCTAAAATCACTCACACTTAACCTATCTCATTGCCTCTTTTGGAAACTCATTGGGCGTCCCAAGCCCTGAGGCATTAGCTAGGAGGCAAGTATCAACATGTGAAGGATCCAAAATGAGCTCTTCCATGGGTTTTATAGCCTCAGGGGGGTTTTCCATGGTTTGCATGGTCACCATGTCCAATCAATTCCAATTTCGCTGAAATATCCCACCTTGGACTTCTATCCCAAAATTTCCCCAAATTTACCAAAATGCCTTAAAATTCCCAAAATCACCCATACTCCCGATTCTTCACCTAAAAACATATTGAGGCACTTCAAATTAATCTAATTGCCCAAATACCCCCAAAATCCTCAAAATTACCAAAATTCTCTTGCACCACCAAAAATTACCAAAATGCCTCCAATACCCTAAAAAATTGTCAAAATCCCCAAAATACCTTACAAACTTCACCAAAACCAATTATAGCCACCTAAGGTTCCCAATTTCACTCAAAATCCCCTAAATCCACCAAAATTGGCCAAAATTCCCAAACTACCCTTAAATCCTTAAAGTCCCCAAATCACTCACAATTTCCACCAATTTCATTTCAAACTAACCCAATTTCAAATTAAAATTAAATATCATCATATCCAAGCTCAATTTAAACCAAATTCAAGCCCAACTCCCCCTAATTCCATACCCAAAAGCAAAGCCCAAGTCAACTACTCCAAATTGACCCAAATCCAAATTTCACCAAATTAAGCCACATAACCAATCCAATCCCACAAAAATTACCATCATGACATTTTTCAAGACCAATTTGAACCTTCAATTGATTTGGATCCAAGCCCAAGCCAAGCTCGAATCCAAATCCATTCCCAAACCTGGTTTCAATTAATACCTTAAAGTTTCTTATTATGCTTTAAGTGTTTGATCTTGGCTCACTTAGAGTAGATCACTTTTGATGCTGTTTAGTTAGAATTGTTTAGATATTCCAATTGACTTTAAATTTATCAAATCAAAATTTGAACGAACTTTAATTTGATTCTAGAAGCTTCCAATCTTGAGATGCATCAAAATGGATATATTGGTTACACGTTAAGATCATGCAACATGAATTAAGGTTTATGTCTAAGGTTAAATCCCACCTTAAATCTTAGTCATCCGATCATCTCCATTCTTCTAAGATGAAGGATCTCCATCAAATATTGGCTAGAGAGGGGAGTTGGGATTGGATTTAAGGGTTTCGGGCAAAAGTAGGTAGGTTTTGCTCGACTTGAGAGACACAAGAGTGGAGTATGGGATTAATGTTTTTATTATTACTATTAATTTTTTTTTAAGAAATTAATTTGTTGGATGATACGAATGGACAAAGGATGAGGTTGCATAGGTAGTGATCATGCATGCAAGACATAGTTTAAGCGAGGAGCTTGTAGTAAAAACAAATATATTAGGGATTTTAAGGTGTTAGGTACATAAAATTAGAGTTTAGGTTGTTAGATATGTAAAATAATTTGAGTGTCATATATGTTTGTAAATCCCCATATTTTTTTTAATACAAAGGTCAATTATATAAAGTTATCTATAATAATTGTGATTTTTTCTTAAATTATTTCACTAGCTTAGTGCTAAATCGGCTTGCATTTTGGCTAACCCAATATTGCAAACTGACAAAAATAAGTTCATCCAATATTTTAATTTCACCAAATAATTGGAAGCGGAGTCCATCAAAAAAACTATCACAAACAAGAAGTATATATTACATAAGACTTTTTTTTCCTTCTGATTACAAACACAAAAAAAAAAAAAATGTTAAAAAAATAGTCAGCCACAAAAAAAAGTGTTTGTTGAATCATAAGTTTTATATAAATTACACTCAAGGAATAAAGTATAAATGAGGAAAGAGAGAGCGAGAGAGAGTGCGTGTGTGATGAACAATAATGAGTAGTGATAAATCGTGTCCTCTTCTTGAAATGATTCTTCTATTTATATAAGAGATAATACAATAATCATATTATATTTTTACTCCCATTTGAGATTGTTAAGTACTAAGGGATTTATCGTATTTTACAAGTTTGTGCATATCGTCTGACTGTTTTTTGGTTTGGTCAGCTAAGTTCAGTTCACTTTGCGTCAACATGGTCAACTCATTCGATTGTGAGTTGGGCCGGAATTTTTATGGTTGACTATCTTCGATCCTTAGTAAGGAGTCTTTGGAGTCTCCACCAGATGGGTCAGAGATGCTTTGCGAAATTGGATATTTATTTAGATCGGCTCTACTGAAGATAGACTATTACATCAGAACAACTTTCCTGTAGTGGTTGACTCGGATATTCTTTTGTTTTATTTCCTATCAAATGACTCTGCTTGGATCATCCGGTCATCTTCTATTTCGCTTCGTGGCGCGGACGGTTTTGGCCTAATTGGTTTGCCTAGTATGGCTTTGCTCGCTCGATTAGGTGGGCATCACGATCTTCTAGGGCCAGCGACATTCGTATTCTTCTCTTCTAAACTATATTGCATAGAAACAGACCCGGGGACACAAACACAACACGACATGGACACAAAAACGAGTACACAAACATGACATAGATACAGACACGAGACATATCTATTGTTAAAAATATAAGCACGAACACGCGTTAGACACGCCATATAATTAAATATATTCAAAAAAAGTATATAAATTCGATAAAAAAATATTAAGAATTACACAAAAAAGAAAATAAGATATTTTATAACACTACTTTTAAAGACAGGTTGTTCTATATCATTTTGGTTTCCTGTTTTTTAGTTGTTTCCAAGCATTCCATATTTTAGAAAGCTCGAGCGGCTTGGCGGGAGGCGCTCGCGCCTCGGCAGGGCTGGCGCAGCGCCATTAATTAATTGGATTATTATTATTTTTTTCGGAAATATAAAGAACAGCCCCTCTCTTCCCCGCTCTCCCTGTTTGCGTACAAAGCTCTCTGAAAGAAACCTTTGCGTTTGAATTCGGCCACGATCTCCTCGTAAATCCTTCATTTTTTCGGAAACTCAGGAATCCGACCCATACAGAGAAGAAGCGTCGCTCCGCTATCCTGGTGTGTTTCTCATTCCTCTCTCTCTCTCCGTGTCTCTTTCTCTTTCTGTCTCTCCTTTTCTTTTTATCACTCTAATCGGATCTAGGTTTCTGCGGATTGTTAATTTGATTTGCGATTGGGCGTGATTCGGCTTCCGTATAATGTACCTTTTTTTTATTGCTTTGTCTTTCCAGGCGCTTCGATTATTTGCTTTGAATATTGGTTAGAAGTTAGATTTTGGTTTGATTTGACTCCTTCAGCTTATACGTTTCTGCAATGTATTATGGCTTGGTTGCAGTTTTTTTATGAATTTTTCATTGAAAATTATTTTTTTGGCGCGTTATTGCTCAGGTGTTAAAGTCTTGAAGCTTATCAAATTGCTGTTTGTTTCACCTAATTTGTTTTTGTTGGAGCTTATGTTTAGAGTGGTTGATTATTCTATTATATATTATTGGAATCCTATTTTTTTAAATATAAATGGTTCTGGTTCAAGTTTTCAAGCGTTGGTAGGATTATTTGATTCTGAGTCTTTCTAATGGGAGATTATGAGGCTCTAAAGAAGGAAAAATTATTACATCAGGACTCAACATGTAGAGCTGATTGTGGAGTTAAATCTTGCGCTGACACGTGGAATTACAAGCCTTCTTACATAAAAAATGAAAAAATAATGAAAATGCACGACTCAGCCCGACCGGCGCGTTAAAGGAATATTTCGTCGCATAAGTATCTGTTATCTGGTCTGTCGGCTGTAAGTTCATTTTATTTTTCTGGTAATATATTTAGGCCAAGGGCCCGTCAAGGAAGAAGCGACCAGCTACAGTTGCCTTTGATGAGAGCCAATCAAGGAGGAAATGCCCAGTTACTGTTGTACATTCTTAACCTGTTCTAAGTCTTTGCATCCATCCTTGTATCTGTTATCTGGTCTGTCGGCTGTAAGTTCATTTTATTTTTCTGGTAATATATTTAGGCCAAGGGCCCGTCAAGGAAGAAGCGACCAGCTACAGTTGCCTTTGATGAGAGCCAATCAAGGAGGAAATGCCCAGTTACTGTTGTACATTCTTAACCTGTTCTAAGTCTTTGCATCCATCCTTGTATCTGTTATCTGGTCTGTCGGCTGTAAGTTCATTTTATTTTTCTGGTAATATATTTAGGCCAAGGGCCCGTCAAGGAAGAAGCGACCAGCTACAGTTGCCTTTGATGAGAGCCAATCAAGGAGGAAATGCCCAGTTACTGTTGTACATTCTTAACCTGTTCTAAGTCTTTGCATCCATCCTTGTATCTGTTATCTGGTCTGTCGGCTGTAAGTTCATTTTATTTTTCTGGTAATATATTTAGGCCAAGGGCCCGTCAAGGAAGAAGCGACCAGCTACAGTTGCCTTTGATGAGAGCCAATCAAGGAGGAAATGCCCAGTTACTGTTGTACATTCTTAACCTGTTCTAAGTCTTTGCATCCATCCTTGTATCTGTTATCTGGTCTGTCGGCTGTAAGTTCATTTTATTTTTCTGGTAATATATTTAGGCCAAGGGCCCGTCAAGGAAGAAGCGACCAGCTACAGTTGCCTTTGATGAGAGCCAATCAAGGAGGAAATGCCCAGTTACTGTTGTACATTCTTAACCTGTTCTAAGTCTTTGCATCCATCCTTGTATCTGTTATCTGGTCTGTCGGCTGTAAGTTCATTTTATTTTTCTGGTAATATATTTAGGCCAAGGGCCCGTCAAGGAAGAAGCGACCAGCTACAGTTGCCTTTGATGAGAGCCAATCAAGGAGGAAATGCCCAGTTACTGTTGTACATTCTTAACCTGTTCTAAGTCTTTGCATCCATCCTTGTATCTGTTATCTGGTCTGTCGGCTGTAAGTTCATTTTATTTTTCTGGTAATATATTTAGGCCAAGGGCCCGTCAAGGAAGAAGCGACCAGCTACAGTTGCCTTTGATGAGAGCCAATCAAGGAGGAAATGCCCAGTTACTGTTGTACATTCTTAACCTGTTCTAAGTCTTTGCATCCATCCTTGTATCTGTTATCTGGTCTGTCGGCTGTAAGTTCATTTTATTTTTCTGGTAATATATTTAGGCCAAGGGCCCGTCAAGGAAGAAGCGACCAGCTACAGTTGCCTTTGATGAGAGCCAATCAAGGAGGAAATGCCCAGTTACTGTTGTACATTCTTAACCTGTTCTAAGTCTTTGCATCCATCCTTGTATCTGTTATCTGGTCTGTCGGCTGTAAGTTCATTTTATTTTTCTGGTAATATATTTAGGCCAAGGGCCCGTCAAGGAAGAAGCGACCAGCTACAGTTGCCTTTGATGAGAGCCAATCAAGGAGGAAATGCCCAGTTACTGTTGTACATTCTTAACCTGTTCTAAGTCTTTGCATCCATCCTTGTATCTGTTATCTGGTCTGTCGGCTGTAAGTTCATTTTATTTTTCTGGTAATATATTTAGGCCAAGGGCCCGTCAAGGAAGAAGCGACCAGCTACAGTTGCCTTTGATGAGAGCCAATCAAGGAGGAAATGCCCAGTTACTGTTGTACATTCTTAACCTGTTCTAAGTCTTTGCATCCATCCTTGTATCTGTTATCTGGTCTGTCGGCTGTAAGTTCATTTTATTTTTCTGGTAATATATTTAGGCCAAGGGCCCGTCAAGGAAGAAGCGACCAGCTACAGTTGCCTTTGATGAGAGCCAATCAAGGAGGAAATGCCCAGTTACTGTTGTACATTCTTAACCTGTTCTAAGTCTTTGCATCCATCCTTGTATCTGTTATCTGGTCTGTCGGCTGTAAGTTCATTTTATTTTTCTGGTAATATATTTAGGCCAAGGGCCCGTCAAGGAAGAAGCGACCAGCTACAGTTGCCTTTGATGAGAGCCAATCAAGGAGGAAATGCCCAGTTACTGTTGTACATTCTTAACCTGTTCTAAGTCTTTGCATCCATCCTTGTATCTGTTATCTGGTCTGTCGGCTGTAAGTTCATTTTATTTTTCTGGTAATATATTTAGGCCAAGGGCCCGTCAAGGAAGAAGCGACCAGCTACAGTTGCCTTTGATGAGAGCCAATCAAGGAGGAAATGCCCAGTTACTGTTGTACATTCTTAACCTGTTCTAAGTCTTTGCATCCATCCTTGTATCTGTTATCTGGTCTGTCGGCTGTAAGTTCATTTTATTTTTCTGGTAATATATTTAGGCCAAGGGCCCGTCAAGGAAGAAGCGACCAGCTACAGTTGCCTTTGATGAGAGCCAATCAAGGAGGAAATGCCCAGTTACTGTTGTACATTCTTAACCTGTTCTAAGTCTTTGCATCCATCCTTGTATCTGTTATCTGGTCTGTCGGCTGTAAGTTCATTTTATTTTTCTGGTAATATATTTAGGCCAAGGGCCCGTCAAGGAAGAAGCGACCAGCTACAGTTGCCTTTGATGAGAGCCAATCAAGGAGGAAACAACCAGTTACAGTTGTCAATGATGAGAGCTTGGAAACTGATACTTCTCAATCAGGTGTGCTCTGTCTGCCCATTTATTTTTGTATAATACAGCTTATAGAAAACATTATTATCGATGATGATAAGTTTTTCTTAAAGAAGACATTGGAGTCAGTGGCAATGATTATTGTGATGTTGAGTGTGTTTTTTGTTAAATTCATGACAGTGTAATGCATTCAAACTTCTTTTGATGTTTTGAGGATTGCCTAGGGGTTTTTTGTTCTGAGATATTATTAGAATATTCCACTTGGAATGCATAAGTTTTGACTTTTAAGCTATTGGCATGAAGTAATCTAAATCTAAAGCATCTCTGTGTATTAAGTAATTTATATTACGTCCAAAAACTCTTTATTTTTATCACATTGAAATGCATAAAAAATTTGGCGCCAAATTCATCATTTGTTTGCAACCACTTTGATCATTTTGCCATCAAGTTGACCTCTCTGCTTTGTGTCACGACTTTCCGTGTACTTGCCAAGTTCTCATCTTGTCATCCTTGCTGTGTTTGCAACCAAGTGGGCCTTGTTGATCTCATACACCTATGTACTGTTATTGTCATGAATGAAATTCATTTAAAATGAAAATTTAAAGAATATATTAATACAAGATATGTTAATATAAAAATTTAGAATCATATTACTTCCCACCAAACAAAAAAATTAAGTTTTCCTTATATTTCCTTATTACCAAACAAATATAAAGTAAATTAAATATAATAAGAAATGTAATTGTCAATAAGTCAATGGTTTTTTTTTATTGTTGTTTCCAATGTTTAAAATGGCAAGTTTAGGATTTGAGGCATTTTCCTTAGTGGGGCGAGCCTCGAGGCTGAACCTAGGTGTAAACTTCAAAACAAAAGAATTAAAACTCATAAAATTAAAAATATTTTATAAAGCTGTTAAAGCACAAAATTCAGTCTTAAATGTTAATATAAAATAAAAGTTTGAAATAAAATTTAAAGATTTGGCTTTAAAATACGCACTTAGAATTTAAATATGCCACAAAGATCATGAATCATAGTGACCTTATCATCATTTTCATTAGCTTTGGAAGAATCATCATATGTAATAACTCCAACATCATTGGATTCTATGCTATCATCATCTTTAAAATCATCTTCAATTTTCACATCTTTCATTGAATTAATATAATTTTAAATAAAATTGCAAATTAATAACATGATTAAGTATTTCACTATACTTAGATTATCTTTTGATTTTTTTTAAGCGCCAATATCACTTATTTCTTATAAATGATTGTGAAATAAAAAGTACTCCAAATTCAATAGCTTTTTGTCCATTTAATTGTTAACATTAATATCTTTATTATCATTTTCAATGAAGGTTATTTCTTCATCTCTAGACTTGAATTCTTTTTTTTTTTTTTTTGTAGCTCTTTAATATTTGCAAGATCAACCAAGAGTGTTTGTAAATAAATTTACTTTTTTTTGGAGCTGAACAAATTTAGGTCGTTTCAATTGTCCGAATTTTTTAAGCATTGATCGCAATATTTTTTATATGTAAAGATTTATGAAGTTGAGACTACTACTTGAAGATTTTAATCCCCGACAACGACACAAAAAACTTGATCCCAAGCAAAGTAAGGTTTTAATATTAACTTTAAATTGTAGAGATTCTACCGAAGTATACGTTTCGTTATCAAGTAATATAGAACTTTCTGATTCCGTCCCGAATATCGATCCCACGGAGATAGAAATTAATCCCGGCGGCTTTTAAGAGAATTTCTAGTCTAGAATAACACGCCCTAGCTTGGAAGGATGATAAATGTTTGGTTTTGTTTATATCCTACAATTATCACTACAATATTATTTCTACTTCTAAACTAAAATACTTAGTGAAAATCAAAAAGTGTGGTTTAATATATTAAAAGTACAATTCCTCATGCAATGAAATTAGTGACAAGTGTAAAAGTAAAACAAGTAAAGAGAGAGATTGTGATAAATAGGAGCAATTATATTCTTTACTCTTACTAGAGATCCTATAAAGAACATTGATTAATATAAAGTTTGAATAGTTCTGAAGACAGGCTAGGCAGGGAAGATACTTGCTCTCACTCTAGAGTCTCCTCTTATCCCTCTCTGTCACTCTAAAATTCTTAATTCTATACCCATAAAATTATATCTCTCTATTTATTTGCACTAAACCATATGGACTACACTCTCATCCATATAATTTCATGTGATTCTACCATTAGTTGATTGAGACAATACCATCACGGATCTTACATGTTCTCACAACAGATTTTAACATGCAAGTTGATCAAATTTACATGTAAATGTAGAACAAAGTAAAATCATTACAATATATTCTCACTCTACTTAATTCTATATTTTACACATGCATACTAATTCATTGTAAGAGGGAAGAGTAAGGAAAACTATTTATTACACATGGAGAAACAAAAAGAACTTTTCATTAAACAAGTCTTTGAAAACATACAAACAAAGTACTAGATTGAAATCAAAATATAATGAAAATATTTATCTTTGATGGAAATCAAACTCTCCTTGTATACAAAAACAATCTCCTTACAATCCTCTCCATGAACAAAGTGAAAAGAAAAGAAGTAATCTCTCACTCTCTCTCTTTCTCTCTCACCTTGCGCCCCCCTTGGGGCTCAAGCCCAAGCCTCATCTCCAAGCCTTCTTCTCCTCTTCCAATTAGTTCAAGAGTCCAAGCATCATTTAAAAACATTTTGAAGCCTTTTTTTTATGGCAGGAGAATACTAGCTCTCACTCTAGAGTCCCCTCATCCCCTTTCGTACATTGAATCTTCCAAATGATGCCTCAAGTGTCTCTTTAAAACTCCTTATAACCGCCCCAAATTCTTCTAGAAAGTCTCTTTTATCATTTCCAACGAATTCCACAAGAGACACACGAAGCACCGCTTAAAAAATTGTTCAAATCCGATGTATATTCTAGAAGATATGTTGAAAATAGTTTTTGGTGCTTAAGCGACGATTTTGGGCGCTTAAGCACCCTCCTCTCTGTCTGGTGGCGCCTAAGCGCCATTTTTGGTGCTTAAGTGCAGGGCATTGGGCACAGACACTTAAGTGTTCGATTTTGGTCCCCATGGCTCTGATGTGCCCCGATTCGACCCGGTTTGCTCCGGTTTGCTCTGTTTTGGTCCATTTTTTTTATTTTGCTACAATCACTCCAAATTCTTCAATTTGATGTATCTACAACAAAAAAACACAAGAAAAAATACCTTTAAAGTGCAATATCATCATAAAACATAGCAAGAAAAATAGTACATTTTTAGATGTATCACTCCTAACACATCAAGAATCAAGACAACGACATAAATCCAAACTGATTATTAGAAATCTTTGTATCATATTTTCAATTATTCTCTCCCATAATTTTAATGTATGACTCATTAACTTAATTCATCTGTAATTTGCACACTCTTGTGCATCTTTTTTTTTCTGAAAATGGGGAACCAAAATACTCTTCCTCCACTCCTCAGTATCTTTTTTGTTTTTTAAAATAATATGAAATAGCTTAGTAAACCATGAAATTCTCATATCTCCTAAATATTTTCATACTTAAATTTGGATATTATCAGGTCCTACTGATTTTTCAACATTTGTTTTCTTTAAAGATGCCTAAACTTTTTTTTTTTTTTACTAATGTGATGGTAAAAATAAAACAAAATATTATTATTAACAATATTAATATCTTTAAAGGCAATTGTATTTCTTAGAAACAATATTGAAAAGTATATTACAATATCTCACCCATATAGAAAAACACTTTTGTGTTTCATCTTTAATATACTTTACTTGAATTAAATTAATACTTTTTTTTTCTCTTTGTTTGGGTAGCGCCTTTTGACAAGATTTATGAATTTTTCGGATTTAATAGCCCCAATTTTGCCTAACCCAACCTTATTTTTAACCTTTTGTATAGCCCCAAGTGGGTCAACTTTTATGAATTTTTCGGATTTAATAGCCCCAATTTTGGGTATCAAATCACAAACCATATTTTATTCACAGTAAGTTTGTAATAATTCAACTTAAAATGAGCACAGTTATCCAATTTGGGCACAACAAAAAAATATAAAAAATTTTCAAATTCAAAAAAGTTTTTCATTAGAAATTAATCAAATAATTGTCATCATTTTCTGGTTGACCTAACCCAACCTTGTTTTTTGAGTTACTTAAAAGTTGACCCAGCTCCTAGCCAAATCTTACACTGGTTGTCCCAAACTTGTATTATTCGCGTCAATTTCAAAGTGGCCATTGGGTCCAATTATTTACACCCCTATAAAATATAGACATTAGGTGTTTTGAGTACTAATTTTAAAGTAATAATGTATCACAAAGATTGTGTTAATGTGTTCTAATTTTTTTTTTATGGTTATAGCTGGTTCTTATGGTTCATAGGACCGAATAGTTTTTTAGGTAACATCGCATACATCAAATAATAGCTTTTTTTTTCTTTCTAATATTCCATCAGATATAGTTTGGCATTTCTCACATTTTCTTGATGTGTTCTTTCTTAATCTATTTCTAAATTCATTCATTTTAGTAGTTTATTCTTTCTGGATGTGGCTATTTATGTATGTCAGTTCTTAGTTCTTATATTTAATATATTTTCAAAAACTAATTTTTACGTATCTATTAATATAGGACTTGTGGAGGAAACAGTAACAAAGTTGCCCCTTAGTATCCAAAATTTGAATACTCAACTTTCTTTAGGAAGGACAATCATTGATAGCAATTTGTATGCAAATGAAAATTGCTTTCCAAAGGTATTAATATATCTCTTGCTTGTTTCTTTTTTAGGAAATGGTGATTAGATTTCTTTATTCATCTAATGGGGCATACCACCAAAATGATTAAATGTAAACTCAGTATTTTATTTAGAGATAATTTCCATTAATTTATTATTAGATTTTTTTCTGTTTGCTTTACTGTTTTCGCTGTAAATTTATTGCATTTATAATTTAATATCTTTAGTTTATTGTTTCTCACATTAAGTAATCCCAATTGTTAGTAGCTAAGATTAAAGTAATCTAAATAGCAGCAAAATTGGATGCTATTTTGATTTTCACAGTCTAGATGATTAAGAGTAGTGAAGAGGGTAAAATTTTTATCACTATTTATAATTTTAATGAAGTAAGATGACATCTAACCAAGCACTGCATTTAAATGATTAGAATGCTATTTGAAGCATTGCTATCTTGATTATAATTTATCAAACTAATGTTGATAAAAAAAAGACCATAAATACTTTGAATCTTCTTGTTGCGCAATCTGAATTGCTGCTGTTTTCAACTAGCGTACATTTGCAAGCTGACAAAATTATCATTTTTTTCTTTGACTTGTAGAAATATTTTTGTTATTATTTATTTTATTTTTTACTTATAGAAAAGTTGATGGTTCAGCTCTTTTGAGAAATTATAATAACGATTCTTGCCCAGATCCTTGGGCTTTTGCTTAAATGTCTTGACAATACACTTCTTCATGTTCTTTACCTCGACCATTAGTTAGTTTTTACATTTTTTTTTGTTTGAAACTATTTCCTTTTAAATTATGTATTCTTGTAAGAATAAATTAGTTTTTCAGCATGAAATTCTAACATCGGTTCTTGTAGATGCCTATCTTATAAAACTCAATAATTTTATTTTGATACTAATCATGTGGACTGATTGGTTGGAAGCACTAGGAGCATATTGTTTCCAACTTTTTGAGATCCAACTTGGTGTTTAGTTAAACAAATAAAATGTAAAATATAGTTTTGATGTATTTGAAACCCTTCTGGAAGTTACCCAAGTTGGGTGATTTCCAAAATTTTGTGTTGTAATCACACCTGATTCTAGTCTACCATCGTCGGTTGCAACTGCATCCACTCGAAGCCCACAATTCATTGCCGCATCCTAACCACTACCTGCAAATTTTCAATGCATTTGAAATATTTATAAATGTTAGGAAATAAATTCAATGCAATTAATTTAATTCCAACCAAACAAAATCATTGAATTTAAAATACATACGACAATAATAACAAGCCTTTATATCCCACTAAGTGGGGCTGGCTACATGAATCCTTTTTCTCCATTGTGTCCTATTGAGTGTCATATTTTCATTTAGTTCTAATAAATTAAGATAATTTTTTATACAACATGCCCAAATCTTTTTAGGTCGACTTCAACCTTTTTTAACATAAGTCGAATCTAAAGCATCTACTCTCCTAATCAAATCATGAGGTGGTCGACGTTTAATGTGACCAAACAATCTAAGATGTCTTTCTCTAATCTTGCCTGTCACTGGAGCTACACCAACCAGTTTATGGATACATTCGTTTTGCATTTTGTCTCTAAGTGTCAAGCCACTCATCCACCTAAACATTCTTATTTTAGCACATTTAATTTGGTTCTATGCTTCTCTTTTAAAGGCCAACATTTCGCATCATAAAGTATTGTGGGTCTCACTAGCATTTTATAAAGTTTTCCTTTAAGTCTAAGCGGTACTTTTCTGTCACACAATAGGCCTGATAGATTCCTCCACTTCAACCATCCACTTGATTTCTACTAATAACATCCCCATCTATATTACCATCACTTTGAGCAATAGACCTGAGATTTGAGGTATCTAACACATTTTAAAGATTTGATCACCCATTATTACAACTCTAACAGTAGATCTACTATTACTAAAACTATAGTCTATGTATTCAGTTTTAGATCTATGCAAATGAAGGCCTTTAGACTCTAATGTAGACCTCCATAATTCAATTGTCTTTTGAACTCTTTCTCTAGTCTTATCTACAAGAAAGATATCATCAGCGAAAAAAAGAATGTATATATATATATATATATATATAAAATAAATGGGAACTAATGAATATTTATGTAAAAAAAAAGCAAAATTTTACGCAGTGTTTGGTTGGAGGCACTAGGAGTATATTGTATTCCTTTCTTTTGCAATCCAACTTGCTGCTTAGCTTGAAGCAAACAAAATGCAAAATATGGTTTTGATGTATTTGAAACCTTTTTGGAAGTTTCCCAAATTGATTTTCAATTTTTGTTCCATCATTGGTTGCAACCAGTTTGATTTATTTGAAACCTTTTTGGAAGTTTCCCAAATTGAGCGATTTTCAATTTTTGTTCCATCATTGGTTGCAACCACACTATTGGAAGTCCATAGTTCATCGACGCATCCTAACCACTATCCGCAAATTTTTAATGCATTTGAAATAATTTATAAATATTAGAAAAAAATTTCAATTCATTTATTTTAAATCCAACCAAACAAACCCATTGAATTTTAACATTCGTACAACACAAAATAATAGTAATAATAATAATACAAAATAGCAAAAAAAAAAAAAAAAGAAAGGATGCAAAATTATAGGGAAATTGAAAAGGGTAAAAAAAAAAACAA